CTGTAGAGATGTACTGCAGAGCACCCACATCACAGTATGACATTATGAAACAGCAATGGCTTGCAAACCCTGGGTGTTAATCCTGACTGGCATTTCTGGGACGGAAGATGGTTGCAGCTTGCTCTTTATCCCACTTTCTTCTTCTTATCTTCTGTCACTTATGGGGAACAGCACAACCCTGCTTGTCACCAGGATTGGCACAAGCCTCTGAGAGGCCCTGGATCAGTTCCTGTCTAACCAATTCCTGGTGCTGTCATCACCAGTTTGAGTTTGTCTCTAAAATACCAACAATGATGTGTTTTGTGGTTTGATGCCAGGCAGGTTAGTGCTGATGCTTGGCTTGTTCATTCTTCTTTTTAATTCCTTTCTTCTCCTTCGTGGAGTCCTCTGTGCTTCCAGCCACAACCTTTGATCACTATGTGGCCATCTACTACCTGCTGAGGTACTCTTCCATGCTCACCAGTGCCAGGATCAGGCTGGTGTCCTGGGCTGGTCCAGCTGTCTCAACAAGCATTCCTCCAGTTCTGGAATTAAGGTTACCATTACTGTCTGCATCAGGACCTGATCAAGCTGGTGTGTGGTAGAGATCACGTTCAACAACTACTATGGCTTTGCTGTAGTCTTTCTGGCTTTTGACCTCATCCTCATTTTTATGCTACATATTTCTAGGGCCATTCTGAGCATCACATCCCAGAGGGAGCATCTCATGGCTTTGAACAACTGCCTGTCCCGCATCCTATCCTAGTTATCTTGTCTGTGGTTCACTGGTATGGCAAACATGGTTCACATCATAGACAATGTCTACCTGCTGGGGGGTGGGTGTGTGTGTCCATGCTGAACCTCATCATCTACAGCTTAAAACCTAAACCGATTCACAGGATCTGCCTCTCAGAGGCAGCTCTGCCTGAGACAGACAGCAACGTCTGACAGAGGAGTTGAGGGGATGGGATGACTCCAGGCTGGAGGTAGCTGGACTCTGTCATTGCTTTAGCATTTCCTTGCATTGAGGATATTTTGGATGGAGGCTTCTTCAGTTATCATACAGCATCTGCTGGGCTGTAGTGATTTGTTGCGTCTGGTGAGCAGTCAACAGCTCAATGTTACTACTGAGCTGGGGTCATTCACTATGTGCTATAGAAAGGTTTAGTTTTATGAAGCTGTTCTAGAAAAAGGCATCCTTGAAGAGAAGAGGCTGATTAGATCAGCTGTCCATCTCTTAGCACAGTCTAAGCTCATCTGCTCAGCCATGAGTTGAGATAAAAGGTCAAATGTTTCACCTGTGCCATTCTCTGGATTTGACTGCTTCTTGTGATAGCCTTTACGACTCTGCAGTCATTTGTGCTTTAATCCTAGCATGTTAAATAGCACTGTTCACTCATTCTTTGAGAACAGTATAACTGAAATGAAATCTCTTGAAGTCTTTTGAATGGAGAGAACTCAAAAGAGTTTTACAAACAGCAAAAACACCCAGCTTACAAGGGTTTAGCTCCTTAACTATTGCAACAGACACCACCTCCATCTGCTTATGTGCCATGGGCCAAGTCAACACCTTACATGCACACATCTATCCTGTATCAGGAATAGTGCAGCCAGCAGGAGCAGGGAGGTGACCGTGCCCCCATACTCAGCACTGGTGAGGCCGCACCTCGAATACTGTGCCCAGCTTTGGGCCCCTCACTCCAAGAAGGACATTGAGGGGCTGGAGTGTGTCCAGAGAAGGGCAGCGAGGCTGGTGAAGGGTTTGGAGAACAAGTCTGATGAGGAGCAGCTGAGGGAGCTAGGGCTGCTCAGTCTGGAGAAGAGGAGGCTGAGGGGAGACCTTCTCGCTCTCTACAGCTCCCTGACAGGAGGGTGTAGTGAGGCAGGTGTTGGTCTCTTCTCCCAAGTAACTAGTGATAAGATGAGAGGCAATGGCCTCAAATTGCATCAGGGGAGTTTTAGATTGGATATTAGGTAAAATGTCTCTACTGAAAGAGTGGTCAGGCGTCGGACCAGGCTGCCCAGGGCAGTGGTGGAGTCCCTATCCCTGGAGGGATTCAAAATACTTGTAGATGTGGCACTTGGGGACATGGTTTAGCAGGCATGGTGGTGTTGGGTTGGCAGTTGGATTTGATGATCTTAGAGGTCTTTTCCAAGCTATGCTTCTATGATTTATCTTCTCACTGAACATCCTCTGAGTGAAAATGCTTCCTATGTTAATGATACCCTGTGATTCATTAGGGGCTCTGCTGACTGAGTCCATGTGCAAGGACAGCTGACGGTGTTTGCTCAAATGACCCCAAAGGCCAGACAGAGATCAGAGGAGCAGTGACCAGGTGGGGGAAGCCTGCCAGGCTCATTCCTTTACATCTACTGCTCCTAAGATCATCAGAGGTGACTGGTTGAGCCATTGTCCCTATTTGGAAACTAGAGCAATTCATCAGAAGGAACTGTCTCCAGGAGACTATGCAAATTCTGGGATTACTCCCTGAACAGGTATAGGATTTTTGTGAGATGCCTGTGGGAGAAGTTGAGGATTGAACAGGAAAATTATGGAACTGTACAAGATTCATCACAATGTTTACTGGAAGGGCTGACAGCAGAAATTCTTTGGAGTTATTAAGGAATTATTAAAGGAATGTGTGTGTTTGCAGGTGTGTGTAATCCACCAGTGGACTTCTGGCCAGCGCAGGGAGAGTGAGGGATTTGGGCTCTGGGGTCTAGATTGGACGGACCAGGGGTCTGGAGACAGGTATAGGAGAGAAAAAGGGTTGGGAGGAGCTTCCAGATTGATCCTCTGCTGTGAGTCCCTGAGCTGCTGTCCATAGAAACAGGTCTGAGCAATTTGTGATGTCAGAGTGGGTCC